CTGCGCGCCCAGCGCCGCCAGGACGGCCGCCGGGACGCCCAGGAGGATCATCGCGGCCAGCACCCGGCCGCTGTACGAGAGGGTCATGGCGGGGTGCTGCGGGCCAGGGCAGTCGAGGAGAAAGGTTTTCCTGGGCAGGGAGGTTGGGAATGGCGAGGACCCCCACGGGGGCGGGGCCGCAGGGGTGTTTGAAAGCTCAGGGGCTTCAGGGGCCTCGGGGTACTGGTCGCAGTGGGGACGAGGGAGCTCTGCGAAAACTTGAGAGTCTTTTCTCCTCCTACAACCGACCCCGCGGGCGCCCCTCCCGGCCTCCGGTGCCGGCGGGGCGGGGCCAAAAGGGGCGGGGTTGGCCCCATCCAGGGATCCCTACAGGTCCCTAAACTCATTAAAGTATCCCCCCATCGCTGGCCTAAGCACCTGTTTCATTGCTGCTTATTTGTTAAATAATTTATTTTTTATCTTCACTCGAGGATATTTTTCCCATTGCTTCCCGGAGAGAGTGGAAGGGAGAGAGAGAGAGAGAAACATCGATGTGAGAGAGGCATCAATTGGTTGCCTCCNTTGCCTCCCGCACGCATCTCAACCGGGCTGCAACCAGCCCGCAATCGAGGCTCGTGCCCCTTTGGTCGGAATCAAACCCAGAGCCCTTCAGTCTGAGGGCCCACGTTCTAATCACTGAGCCAAACCAGCTAGGGCTTATTGTTGTTTTTTTAAAAAGAAACTTGGGCCCTAGCTGGTCCGGCTCAGTGATTAGAGCCAGACTGAAGGGTCCTGGCTTTGATTCCGTTGGATTTCGCCCAAGGGCAGGTACCTAGGTTGCAGGCTCAGCCCCGGCCCTGGTCGGCTCCAGAGCGGGAGCAACCAATGGATGTGTTTCTCTCACATCGGTGTCTCTCTCTCTCTCTCTGTCTCTCTCTGAAAAGCAATGGGGGGGTGGGGAGGAAAAAAGAAACTTGGCCCTGGCCAGGTGGCTTAGTTGGTTGGCGTGTCTTCCGATACACCAAAAAGGTTTCTGTTGGATTCCCTGGGGGGCACATACCTAGGTTGCAGGTTCAATCTCCAGTCAGAGGAGGCAACCGATGAGTGTTTCTCTCTCACGTGGATGTCTGCCCCCCCTTCCTCTCTCTCCAAAATCAATAAACATTGAGGATTAAGTAAATAAACTTGAACAAATTTTAAAATAATTCACTTTGATAACTTAGTCTCTAACTTCAGACCTTGCGATTGTTTATTTCCTGATTGCTCACCCTCTTTCAAAGCTTTGCAGAAATGTCGCCTCCTTGGCAAGGCCCTCCTGGGCCCCACTTAGTACTTTGCTGCTAGGCTTAGTTCTAACCATGGCACTTTTTTTGTTACTATTTTTTTTTCCTTTTTATTGAATTTATTGGGGTGACATTGGTTAACAAAATTATACACGCTTCAGGTGCACAATTCCACAACGCATCATCTGTACACTGTATGTGTTCACCACCCCAAGTCAAGTCTCCTTCCATCACCATTTATTGCCCCACTATTTTTAAATTTTTATTATTATTTTTTAAACCTCTTCCAAGGATAGGAGATTTTTTTCCATTGCTTTTCAGAGAGAGTGGAGGGGAGAAAAACAAGAGAGAGAAACATCGATGTGAGAGAGACACATTGATTGGTTGCCTCCTGCATGCACCCTGACCAGGGCCGGGATGGAGCCTGCAACCAAGGTATGTGCCCTCGGCTGTAATCAAACCCGGGACACTTCAGTCCAAGGGCTGATGCTCTAACCACTGAGCAAAAATGGCTAGGGCTATTTTTTTTTTTTTAAGTTTTAAAAATGGAGGTGAAATTTACATGACAAAGTTCACCGTTTTAAAGTAAAAATTCAGTGGCATCTGGTTCATTCACAATGTTGTGCAACCATCATCTCCATCTAAGTCCAGGATATTTTCATCACCCCAAAAGGAGACTCCCGTTAGCAGTCACTCCCTTCCCCCAGCTACTGGCAACCACTAATTGATTTTCTGTCTCTATGCATTTGCCTGTTCTGGACATTTCATATAAATGGAATCACACCCAATGTGGTCTTGTCCTTCACTGCCTGGCTTTTGTCACTCAGCAGAGTTTTAGAGGTTCATTCACAACGTAGTGTGTGTCAGTGCTTCATTCCTTCCTCCCCCCGCAAAATCCTCATCCTAGGAAATTTTTCCATTGCTTTTCACAGAGAGAGGGAGAAAGAGAGAAACATAGATGTGAGAGAGACACATCCATTGGTTGCCTTCTGCACTCGCCCCGACTGGGGCCAAGGATCAAGCCTCCAACCGAGGTATGTGTCCTTGGCTGAAACCAGACCTGAAACCCTTCAGTCTGAGGGCCAACACTCTAACCACTGAGCCAAACTGGGTAGGCCTTCATTCATTTTTATGCTGAATAATATTCCATTGTATGAATGGACCATATTGTGTTTATCCATTCATTCTCTGAAGGACATTTTCCCACCTTTTGTCAGTTGTGACTAGTGCTGCTATGAGCATGTGTGAACAGCGATTTGTTTGAGTCCCTGGTGGTTTTTTTTTTGTATATACCAGGAGTGGAATGGCTGGGTCATATGGTCATTCTATATTTAACTTATGTTTTCCACAGTGGCTGTACTATTTTTCATTCCCACAAGTAGTGTACCAGGGTTCCAATTTATTCATTTCCCCACCAACACTTGTTATTTTGTTTTTGTTTTACTATATTCATCCTACTGATGTGAGGTGATATCTCACTGCATTTAAATATATATATATATAGCCCGGCCGGGCGTGGCTCAGCAGCTGAGCATTGGCCTAGGATCCAGGCGATCAGGGTTTGATTCCTGGTCAGGGCACATGCCTGGGTTGTGGGCTCGATCAATGACTCTCTCTCATCATTGATGTTTCTATCTCTCTCTCTGCCTCTCCTTTCCTCTCTCTGAAATCATTAAAGATATATTTTTTTAAAAAGTATTAAAAAAAAATAAAAATAAAAAAATAAATATGTATTTTTATTGATTTCAGAGAGAGGAAGAGAGAAATAGAAACATCAGTGATGAGAGAATCATCAATTGGCTGCCTCCTGCAGGCCCCTACTGGGGACTGAGCCTGCAACCCAGGCATGTGCCCCGACCAGAAATGGAACTGAGAACTCCCGGTTCACGTCAGAACACTCAACCACTGAGCCATGTCCGCTGGGCTCACTGCAGTTTTGATTTGCATTTCCCTAGTGGCTTCTGATGGTGAGCACCTTTTCATGGACTTTTTGGCCATTTGTGTATCTTTTTTGGAGAGATGTCTATTCACATCCTTTGCTTATTTTTTTATTTTTTATTTTTTTAATTGAAGAGAGGGGACTGGAGAGACACCTCCCGTACGAACCCCAACCAGGAACCTGGGCATGTGCCCTGACCAGGAATCAAACTGGAGACCTTTCGGTGCAGGAAACAACACTCAACCAACTGAGCCATACCAGCCAGGGCCCTTTGCTTATTTTTCAATCCCGTTGTGCGGTTTCCCCCATTTTGCATCCGGCAGTTTCCCAATGTCGGGGCGCCCCCTGCTGGTGGGCTGTGCCAGAACAGGAAGGTGGCCCTAGTTCCACTAACCTGTTGTGTTCCCTTAGTGTCGCTGACTACACTCAGCACACAGCAGGCCCTCAATAAATGCTTGCTGAACCCATGAATGAATGAATGGCTTGGTACCCCTGTTCTGGAATTCTTGCAAAACGTGAAATATTAAATCTAAAACTGGTTTCACAGGTAACACATTCCTGATAGATCCAGAACAGAATGAATGAGTCGTCCTGGCCCCTGCCTTAATGCATTCAGGTCTGAAAGACGCATAGTCATCACCTGGGCTTTACAGATGAGGAAGCTGAGGCATAGGGAGGTGTGCTGACTCCCTAGGTCACACAGCTTAGCACAGGCAGGGTGATATTCGAACCCAGCAGCCTGGCTCCGATCCACTGCTCTATACAATTTCACAGACACACTGGTTTTGAATTTCCAGGTCTCTCTTCTGATTTTGGGGGTCTTTTTGGTTTCAAATTTTGAGGCTCTTCTGGGAAGAGTTTAAGGGCCCTGAGCCCTCAGCCTAGTGTCTTACAGATAAAATGACCTTGGGGGAAACTATGGGTGACTCTGTATACAGCTCCATGTGGCCTCCTTCTTTGCTGTGTGACTTTGGACAAGTCCCTAACTTCCCTGTGCTTCCTCATTTGTAACAAAAATTAGTTCATTCATTCAATTTACCAGGCTTCAGCCCAACATACCCAGACTCTTTCTTCATTACCAAAGTTAGGATGAATTTTCCATGTTTTACAGGTAAGGAAAAGTCCCAAATTAAGGTAGCTGGGGTTCAGCGACTCATTTGGAACAAAGCCCCAGCTCTGTTCTCGGTGTTGGAGATACACAGACGTAAGGCAGTTACGTTTATTCATTCGACAAATATTGAGGGGGAGCCCACCCTGTGCCTGTTCCTAGGCTCTGGGGACCCAGTGGTGACTAAAGCAGGCCCAGTTTGCCCTTCTGGGGCTAATGACCTGGTGGGGAGATAGAAATACAAGCTTAAGTGGACAAGTAAAGGGACAAGTCTACAGCGGCCAAAGGTCATTACAACACTCTTAGAGTTCACCATTATTTGTTGGGGGCCTGAGGAAGCGTGGTTCACAGATACCAAGACCTGGCCCTTCCCTTTGTGCGTAGGTGACTTCCTAGTTTGGTGGTGTCTGGCTTCAATTTGGAACGTTAACCCTGCAAGTGGATGACACTCGGTGGGTGACACTCTGAGGGTGATTTTGTCTGTGTTGGCCAGGCACCAAGCTGTCCCTTCCTCACTACTGCTGGAGGGTCATGACTCCTGTTTACCAGGAAGGATGAGACCCGGAGAGGGCCAGCAACTTGCTCACATCACACAGCCCAAGAGGACAGGGAGTGGATTCCCCTGCCTCACTGCCCAGGTGGGAAAGGCTGACCACTGTGAGCTGGAGGGAATAATAATAATAAAGATATTGATGGGTCACACGTCCTGTGATTTGCCCTGGAAGGACATTTTAAAACTTTCTTTTCTAGCCCTGGCTAGTGTTGCTCACAAGGTGGCGGGTTTGATTCCCAATCAGGGCACATACCCGGGTTGTGGGTTTGATCCCCAGTTGGGGCACGCGCGATTTATGTTTTTTTTCTCTCTCTCTCTCCCCTTTCCTCTCTCTAAAATATCGATTAAAAAACCCCCAAACCTTTTTATTTTAAAAGCTGTAAGCGAGCCTGCAACCTGGTATTAGGTATACTGAATTTAAGAGCCATTATCACGCAGGGTCCAATGCACAGGTGGGTTTACTGAGGTCCACAAAGGGAAAACTGGCTGGAACCTGAAACAGGTGGCACCACCAACCTGATCCTCATTGTCCTCACCTGCAGATTGTGGATTAAGGGTGAGAATAAAATGAGGCGCCTACTAGTCCAGTCCCCAGGCCTCCCAGGCCCACAGCAGCACCGCCTCACCTTTTCTGGGTCTTGGGCGCAGGATAAGCGGTTTACATTCATTTACATATTTGGCTCCGCCTCCGAGAACTGGGCTCACCCTCCCGCCCTCAGGCGGCGCCAGAGGCAAAACATGGAGAGGTTCGTGGGAGAAGATAGCTCCAGCCCTGGCTTCTTGGCTGATCTGCCAGACAGGACCTAGCTTTTGTGTCATTTTCCAGAAGGAAGAAAGGAGGCTTAGAGAGGGGAGGTGACTGTCCTAGTCACATAGCCAAGAAGTGGTTCCAGACTGAAGTTTTGATTTTTTATTTCTCTATTCTTTTGTCTATCCAGGAATTTTCAGGACCCCAGCATCCCATATAAACTATAAAGAATTGTTGTACTCTTGCATATTAAATATACGGACCACTCATTTTTTCCTTTCTATTGACTTTATTGGGGGTGACACTGCTTAACAAAATTATACGTGTTTCAGGTGCACAATTCCATAACATGGACAACTCATTTAATGTTAGATGGGCTGAGCATTCTCGGCACGATTATTCGACTTTATTTGCATTTTCCCATTTTAAAACCTCACCCAGGTTTTAAAAATAATTCTGGAGACCCGGACAGAAGGCTCAGACCGGGCCTCTGGAGGACCAGGACAGGGCCGGGCCCGCCCCCTTTTAGGTGAAGGTGTCTCACATCGAGACCTCCTCCCGCCCAGGTCCCACCGTCGCCTGCCCGGTGTGAGCGGGAGAATAAAACAGACTCCTCCAGTTCCCCCCCTGGGCCTCAGGAAGGCTCTTCCCGGCCCTGGCCCGCCTGGCTAAGCAGTTAGAGCAGCGGCCCACGCACTTAAGGGTCGCGGGTTTGATTCGTAGTCAAGGGCACCTGCCTGGCCAAGGGCACCGCCTGGTGTGTGTAGGGCGCGTGTGGGAGGCAACCGATCGATGTGTCTCGCATCGATTCTCATTGTCTCTCTCTCTCCCCTCCCTCCCTTCCACTCTCTCTAAAAAAAAAATCAATCGAAAACGTGTCCTTCGGTGAGGATTAACAAAAAACAAAAAAAGAAAAAAGAAAAAAGAAAGAAACACCCTTCCCACTCCCCCTACGGCCTTTCCCCGCCCTGGGGGATCCCAGGACCCCGCCTCCCAGCTCCGGTCTCTCGCTGGGGCGCACCTCCCAGCGGGAACCCAGAATGGTCCCCTCCCTGCCCCGCCCCCTCCCCTCGGACCCGTGACGCTCTTTGATTACTCCGCACTAGTCAGCCCTCCACCTTGGGGGGCTCAGAATAGCCCCCGGCCCCACCCACCACCGGGTGAGAGGTGAGGGTGCACCAGAGACCTCCCCCCACCGTCCGTCCGTCTGCTCCTCTCCCACCAAGGG